GTTATGTTCTTGGGATAGAGGTCAAACGAGCATACGTATAATTGTGGATCCCCTAATCATAACCGATGCTCACAGCCCATATATATACGCGTAATATCGGAGGAGTAACAAATGCAACTGTTTGCTATATACTGCTTTCTGGCGGCTTGGCAGTCATTGTTATATTAGGTTAGTATTTAAAAACTGACTGCCTCGTTGGCTGAGTGGTTGCAAGTGCGACTGCCGGGCAAGGGTCTCAGGTTCGATTCCCGGGTTGGACAAAGTTTTACTGGGTTTTTTAAAAAACTCAGTAGTAGCATGAAGTCTGGAATTGTGCCCGATAAATGGCAATAGGCTCACCCCCTATTACATGGGACTCATAACATAAATAGTGAAAAGTGGGTGTTACATTGTTACAATGTACACGTCTGCTTACCCCTTCGGGGATAGAAGGCGTGATGTTATGTATGTATGTAGTATTTAAAAAGTCACTTCAAACTGGTCCTAATAACTATCACCTTCTTAATATTGACCGGGATTATATTTTTTGGACGCTTACCACAACCTCACAAAGCCCACTGCAACTTCTGTAAGCCAGGATCTACCATATATAGAACAAACATGAAAATATCGGAACACTGAATGGGCATGAATAAACGTCTTGGATCCCACAACGAAATAAATCAGAAGATAATATTAGAGGAGAAGAAAAAAACGATAGTTTCCACTTACCTCGGTGAATTTGACCAGGAGTTTTGGAAATTTTGTAGGATACTGAAATTATCATTTACTGGATTACGAACCTTATTAACTCCGTGATTAGACTTGCACTCGTTACACCAATGTAACTGCTATACCTAGAACACAACATTCTAGTGAGCGTGTCTTCATAATTACATTTCTGCTAAACGGCTTGACCCTTTTCGATTATGTTTGTCATGGCGTGACCACAATAATTTTTACCTATGGTTAGACTTGTTTGTGCGAGTGACCTGCTAAGCTTCTGCAGCACACTTTACGTGGTTTGTGTTATAATTACTGAAAACGATGTTTAAAAATATTATATATATTATATATAATATTTTTAAAAATATTATATATATTATATATAATATTTTTAAACATCGTTTTCGAATATTATTATATATTATATATTGTCAATCGGGTGGTCACAATTGTGTGCGATTGTAGCGATGGGGGTATCGACATTTTAATGATTTTCGGCATGATGTAGTAGTATAAATATCATCTATTATCAATTTGCAGTACTAAACACAGTAATACAAAAATAATAGAAAGCTTTCAAAAATGAGAAGAATGATGTAGAATTCAACAGGTTTAGAGCTAGATAAGAGACGACTCCAGGGCTCTATCATATGAGTTTGAGCACAACGTTTGCTGCGGTTAATTCGTGGTTGGGTGACCATGTGACCATCGCTTACCTATACAGATTGCTCTATGGCTTAGGAATCACGTTAGTCCTCTGAAATACAAATGTCTACGGTTATGGTGACGTTTAAAGTTGGTTAGAAATGCCAAAAGAGTTACAAAAGCGGATCATATACAGTCTTAATAATATTGACCTCACTATGTAGTTTCTGCGAGTGGTTTCCCATTCAATAGGTACTTAAAATTTTATCTACGGAAGCACTTACTTTCAAATCTTTAATTAGAAATAATTCTTGTGTGTATGGATTGTTGTAGCCATAGTTAACACGCTAGCAAACATGGAGAAACTATGGAATTTTATAGTATTAACCTACATGCGGGAACTGTAGAACTTTGCTTTGTTGACGCGCTTATTTACAAATTAAAATTACTAAGCATTACAGTTTGTTTAAAGCAAAATACTCAAATATATTTATTTACAGTCAATATTTTGTCAAACTTTGTAGTTAACAATTATTAGGGGTTATTTAGAATTACAATTTTCTCTGTAGGGACAAGTGTAAGAATTAATAAGTTTAAATATTCATAACTATGTCACTCCGATTTATCGAAATAGATAATTTAATCCCACGCATCATAGAGCTGTTGTTTCATTAGACAAATGGAACTTCATACAAGGCACGTAATAACAAGGTACGACACGATTCAAGCGTCATACTGTTAGATTCAACCAATTTACCGCTACTTGTTCGCCGACCCTAAACTCTGTCTTAGTAATTTCCCGATTTCCTCGTCTCGCTAGTTCCCCCTAACAAGTAAACTATACTTAAGAAATACTTTTTTGTTTTCTGAACTTTGTGAAGTATTTGTAATGCAATTATTATTCATCACGTGCACATCGATTCAGGCATAGCTAAGAATAATGAGAGATGAATAGTCAAAGCCTCCTCACAATTTCGGCAACGTTGTGCGGTAGGCGGGCGCGGTGGCGTATTGGGCGGGCGGGATCGGTGTGCGCGCGAGGGGAGGTCGATAAGCAGTTTGGATCGGGAGGTCGAGGCAGACGGTCGCTTGCCCTGGTCGCAGAGCGGTCGCCACGCTCTCTACAACCCTCGCTCGCTCGCTCGGTTTATTCCGCTCTCTCGTGCACCCGCGTCGCTCGTGCCTATCGCTCGTACCGCCGCTCGCGCTCACTACTCCGCTTATCGCTCGCGCTCGCCGCTAGCACCCGCCGCGCGCTCTCGTAGCGCTTTTCTCTACATTTACCTAATGTAAGTATTTTTCAGCCTACCTGTGGATAGCCGTATCGTTCTCCGGGCCGCTTTATCTCCTATATATTTTACAGGATTATTTTTTACGCATCCGGTTCGACTGTATTTTTGCTACCTGCAGAGTTCTGCCGGTTTGGCGATGTCGTTTTCCGTTCACAATATACTTAATTTATTTATTAAAAAAACCAAGGCTGTACGGCGTACTAAAATTTTAGTGCCTGTTAACGTACTGGTAATAAAGTCTGGCACTTTAATAATAGGTACTTTGGAAATGGTTTTTACCTATCAATATAAATCTTCGGTTCGTACGTGACTTTGGTATTGAATGGGTTTTGATGGAATCAATATTGTAGGACATTATATGATTTTTTTAACTCAGCGTAAGCCTAAAATTCGTGGTAATAATTTATTTTGCCCTGCGCTATGTTTTGGGTCGCGTAACTGACGGTTTCTCTTTTACTTCTGTTGATTTAGGCCTTTGTTTAAATTCGCGGTGTATGGCGGTGACACCGTTTAAGAAAGCAGGTTACTCAGCTTTCCTCTTATAGATAAAATATTAATAAATCGAAGACAATTATATTATTTGGCTAGGTAACTTCTTTCTTATTACATTTATAGGATTCAATAAAAAAATTGAATTTATTCTATTGAGATTAGGTCAGGAAAAAATTTACGATAAAAAAATGAAGCAAGAAGTCTCTACATTATAGTGACTAGATAGCCAAGTAGACTAATCTTTACACCGTACACTATACAGAAGTTATACAAAATTTGAAAGCAATGTCACGTCCATTTTATTAAAAAAGGCAATAATAAAAATATACAGAATAGGCCGTTAATTTTAAAAATAAACAATCACTTCGTCCGTCGAATTAAAATAAGAATTACATTTCAATAATAATAAAAATAAATAAATAAATCCCAAACTAATAAAAATACATAAAAATTTAATTTGAAATTAATAATAATTTTGTCCATCGATTTCACGGATTTTTTCACATAAAAATAAGAATTACATTTTAATAATAATAATATAATAAAAACCAAACTAATAAATATTAAAAAAAAATATTTAAAAAATGAACAATAATTTCGTCCATGGAATTCACGGATTTTTCAGATAAAATAAGAATTACATTTAAAAAATATTTAAAAAAAATCAACTAAAAAAAGAAAGGTTCGACATCGGATATAAAAAATTGACGATATATAGAGGCCAGATCATTTAATAAGTTTGTAAAAATCACACCAGAACTTTCAACTTCATTAAATTTAAATCTTATAAAATATTTTATATTACAGAATATATAGACATGAAATAATGTAGGTAATAAAATAAATAAAAAGTAGGTCATGTCGTAAAAGACAAAGTAGATAATGGCCCGACGCGTCAATGGGGCTAAGTCCCCATATCTCAGGCGCACAGATGATATTCATGAAGGATATTTATATGAACGTAATTATTAAAACTATTACAATATAACTAAGATAAAGTCAGGGCAAACGAAAACTTAAAAATGCTATAAAATCATAAAAGATTGCTAAGTTTAATCCTTTTCAATTTTAGAATATTGAAATGTCTGAACCTTTAGCTCTTTAGGTATAAAAATCTGTAAAACTAAATTCACGAATTTATTAAAAGCCACAAAACGTTAAAAAAGAGCATTAACTCTACAACATTTATTTTTTAAGCATTAAACTTTTAAATAAACTTTTTTGAGCATAAAAATGCAAAAAAGGGAATAATAAAATATTTAATTGAAATTCATTTATTTATTCGCACTACGCATTTCGTTGGAAGAATGCTCAGTGCTCATTCACGCGGTATAACAATGGGAATGGAAAACAAAATTGATTATCTTTGGTCTCCGACCTCAATATATGTACGATATTGCCGTTTTTATATTCCAACCGAGTCCCGCTGAAGGGAATGTTAATATTTCACAAATCAATTTATGCCTACACATTCTTTTTTAAACGAGAGTTTAGGAATTTACGGAAATGTTACGGCATTTGTTTTAAAAAAGTAACATTTTATTTATTTCGTATTTTATGTGATTCGGAGTAACGTAAATTCAAATTCATTTAAATATTTACTAACATGGGAACATAATATATAGGTGTTAACAAAGTTTAGAGTTTCTCCATATTTTGTCTTCACTTGGCATGCAAAAATATGTTACAAAAAAATAATTAAATAAAAAACAAATTACCTAAATGATATCCGAAAAGACAAAAAAGATATATGTAGGTAATATGTAGGTAAATTAAAATCCAAATTAAAAGTACCTAAATCTAAAAGTAAACAAGCATAAAATTCACCTCGAGCTAACTTAACGTCCGAAAAATAACGAACTTATAAAAAGGACAGACAATAAATAAAAAATAAAAATATATCCTGAGATATAAATATAAACCTTTTCTTTCCTTGTATTCTATCTTCGCAAGGCGTTTTCGTTCACAAAAGTAATCAGAGTATTTTCCTTTGAAGCGTTGATCGAGATTTAACTTGCATTGACACTTCGTATATTGGCTATTCTGGCCAAGAAGGTTTTTATCAGCCCAATAGATCTATACTAAACAGAACTGTTGTAGTATTCACTCGTTCCTAAGTAATATTATTATTAATTATGATGCTTTTTATTTACCAAATGGATAATCAGAAACACAAAAACCTAATGTGTAAAACCGAATTTTTACTACTGGGTACAAACTCAGATTTGTTAATGACAATTTTGAAAGCTGTAAAGGAAATTATACTGCGTGTGAGACTCAAACTCGAGAATCGTCCTAGCGATCACTTGACCAATGAGATAGTGTCGATACCAATAAGATAGATAAGTAATCTTAATATTAAAAAATCCATGTCTCAAATCTATTTCTATAATCTCGAATCTTTCCATTTTAAAATGAGAATGTAGTTATTTTATAACTACAATAACACGACACTTACAACCGGAATATTTTACATTCTACAAATTCCATATTTAACTCGTCGAGTACCGGTTTTGTAGACACAATTATAGAACAATAGGTTGCGGTCACCGGTGACCGCTTGGTGTTTGACAGTTTAAAGTTAGGTGTGAACATTTTAGAAAGACTTAGTAATCGCTTCAATATCACGTAATAGTTCCGATTTCGACACGCAGTTTAGTAATTACTGTAAAATACGAAACATTTGGTACGTAATATTGATATCGAAAACTTTCAAATACGTATCATCTCATCTTTTAAAGGATAGGTAGAACTATAATTTATAAATTAGTACATAATCAAATTATTGGACACTATAAGATATTGTTATAAAAGAAATTGTGATTTATTTGACGTCATTACTTATAGCGGCTACTGATTAAACATATCGCACCTTTAAAATAAAAACATTATTAAACGAAAATTTTCACTAATTAAGGTTATTCCATTTAATTGTTATAGGATTTTTAAATAGTCAATTCTTATAAATACTCAAATTCATGAAAATAACGGTTCATAATGTGGACTAAGGTGCGATATGTTTTAAAAAGATATTGACTACAGTATATCCTGTGAGATTACTTGTCTCTGCGAGATTTTAACAAAATTCTCAGGACATTCCATTTCCTGAATATACAAAATACGGTATCAACTGTTCCTTAAAATATGCAATAGATAGAGCTCCAGATATAATAAAGGAAAACATTTAGTTAAGTACATTAGATACAGCAATTTAACAACCAATGTACAGGGATTATAAAAAGAGAGATCTTCTTATTAGAACAATTGTTTCGTTCTATTGTCACGATGTAGTACCCTCGTCACAGTTTTAGCTCTTAAAGCGAACGGTGATAAGTGTACAGAATTATTTAATCATTTTATTGATCTACCACCTTTCAACACAAATGTACGCGGGGGTCGCGCCTACAAATTATATAAAATCAATTAAACTTTGAAGAACGTTTATCAAGACTCGAGTTTTGAACTTTCGCTTCTCCTTGAGTCTTTTATAATATTTTTTATTGTTTTATTTGTACCGGAAATTCGTGTTTGAACTTAGGAGCGAGTTATTCGGTCATTCGAGCGATTGTTTGCTATCAAAGTTGTTTAATTACGACCGCTTCTCATGCGAACTACGCTACGATCTATTATTTGGTATGATAGTACCTTCGAACCATTCAGTGGCTTTTGTTCTCTATTTCACTTTAAACGGAAACTATATTAGAGAAAGAATATTGTTATGATAATTATCTTAATATGTTAAAAATGTACCAAAACAAGTTTATACTACTAACTTAGTTACATATATGGATATCTTACCTGAGCCCTTTAATCACAAGGCCAACGAAATTTAGCAGTTTTCATTTCATACAAATATTATTTAGTTTTGTAAAACATAGCTATTAACTTCAACTTAGAATCTAATGTTACGTGAAATTACTATTAACTCGAGCCCTATTTCACTATTGTATTAGACTTAGCTTTCCCTCGGGTTAGTCATTTCAAAATTTTACGACTAAATCTGTTTATAAAATCGTTTGTGATCAAATTATTTCAATTTGAGTGGGGCTTTCTGTAACATGAGAAGGTTTAGAAATAACTTAGTTTTCTGTGTAGATGTTCGTTTATATTTCAATATTAATAACAAAACTTAACCGAGGGATAGGCCGAGTTGTCCCAATTACGCCCTCTTTTTGGCAATAATGGTGTCAGTCCCATTAAATGGGGTGGACCTATTGTCATACGCCGATCATGCTTTGGACTCCATGCTTGTATGGGAGTTTCGTATACCTAAAAATTGTTAAAAGTAATTTATTAAATAATTTACTAAATTATGACATTAATCTGTCTCGACATTCTCAAGTAACAGTCCAATACACACAGGTAAGCTGTAAACTTTTACTTATAAACGGGAACTACATTTCAAAATCCTATTTCCCATAGTTTAAAGGTCTTGAACGTTTACGAAAATATTTAGCTTGCCGCTGACAGTTTTAACGGTACTCAAATCTTATTTCATACTTTTT